AGAGAATTGCTTTACTCTGGTGTTTTGCAGGACTTAACTATGCTCCGACTAGTTTTATATTCGTTAACATTCCCTTGATATCGCGGTTTCAATGGCATCCTTTTAGTATTACATCAAGCTCGAGTGTAGATAAACACACAATGTCTGTTATGATGAAATGTGAAGGACAATGGACAAATTCTGTTTATAACAAAGTAGAAGAAGCTGGAATTTCTGATAACAAGATTGGCAACATAACCATAAGAGTCGAAGGTCCTTATGGACCTACTTCGGTAGATTTCCTCAGGTTGCTAAAAAACTCTCTATATGAGCTCAATTTCAATAGATTGCTTAAATTGAAAGTTATTGATTTGTTTGCCAGGTACGATAATCTGTTTCTTGTGGCGGGAGGAATCGGGATTACGCCATTTCTAAGCATTTTGCAGGAACTTTCCTGCCAACATCGACTCAAATCTCCCAAGAGAGTGCAGCTTGTGTTTGCGGTTAGGACATTCGAAGATATTAACATGTTGATTCCCATATCCTCTATACTCTTCAATCCAATCCACAACTTGAATCTCAAGATCAAAGTTTTCGTCACCCAAGAAAAAAAGCATTCCAATGGAACAACAACATTGCAAGAGTTTTTGGCTCAATCACAAGTTCGGTCTATTCACCTCGGAAACAACATGGACTATTCAAGATTCCCAATTCTTGGCCCTGAAAGTTTCATATGGATGGCCATACTAGTCCTTATAACCATTCTTGTGTTTGTCACCTTGCTTATCGGTTTAAGCCATTTCTTTATACCTACGGAACACAGGAATCATATACAGTCTATGAAATTAGCTGCTTCAGGAGCAATCAAGACAGCTAAAGAAAAGGTTCCTTCGTGGATTCCAGATTTGGTTATCATCGTCTCTTACGTTATAGCCATAACAACCGGAGGTTTAGCTGCAACTATTCTACACTGGAGACGACAACACGGAGAGACACCAAGAATGTCTAAAGAAGAAGTAAAACCACAAGAAAAAAACTTCACCGAGTTAATACCAATTGATCCTATAGAGGAAGATGGGATACATACCNGAGAAAGGCCGAAACTCGAAGGTACTGGTTGATTAAGAAAATGTCAATCTTCTGAAGTATAATGTCTCTAAAGAGTTCTATGGC